TCCCGACTGACTCACGACACGGCGTGGTCACCGCGCCGTCTCGGGACCCCCGAATCTAGAAAAACAAACAAAACATCAAAACATACACTTTTTCAGGTCCGCGCGGGTCCCGTGGACCGCGCTCGACCTCCCCAGCTGTCCCTCGCGCGCGGAGCGCGCCAGACGCGGTGCTAGAGGCGATGCCAGGGGGTATGGCGCCGATCCTGGAAATCCGCGCGGACCTTCCAAAGCTTATCTTCATGTGCCTGATTCGGCTACACACAGGAGCGACCCTGGGTAGGAGTGACCTTTGGTGCGCGGCTTTTCGGGGGCCGCGGGGGGACCAAACACGGGCGCCACCACTGCTTCGATCCACGATTTAAGCTACTTAGACGCTCACGACCCCTAGCGGTGCATTTGTGAAAGGCTGCAATTAAATCGTCGCTACAGTGACGCGCCGCGAATGGAAATCGCTCAGTGCCAGCGGCCTCACATTTCTGCTGCACTAAACCTAAAACTATCTGACCATGGGTGTGAACAGCAGCGTATTCGAGAATCAGAAAATGAAATATAACATTGCATCGATTCAACAATTAATCTCGCCAGAAAGTCGGCTCCGGCATCGGCGCCGAGATTTGAGAATTCCTGCCAATCCTGCGACCGCGCAAGACGCTACCATCGCATCGCGTTCGGCGATCGGGGGCCCCGCTGGGCCCGCACCAAAGGTCACTCTGGCGAAAGGTCACTCTTACGTCTAGTCGACTGTTTGATTCCTCTTTGGGTGACCCAAAAGGGGGTCCAGCTGACAGGGGGTGATGCAATAGATTTGGGGCACTTGCACTGCAAATGTACTGCTCCAGAAAATTGCAGCGTGTATCGTACATGTATTGCAAATGCATTGCAAATTGTATTGCAAGTGATGCCTTGCACGCGAAGAACCCAGCAATACATGTTGCGCCCCGGGATGTACTTGCACGCCCCAGAGGTATTGCAACCCTACAAATCTATCGCACCGAATCTATTGCACCACCCCCTTGTCGCTGGACCGGTACGGAAAAAATGGGTACAATGCCGAACAACAAATGTTGTCCCCAACCAGCAGAGGCCGCTGTTGAGCAGGTGGCCTTCTCTCAAATTGACACAGGCCGCGGCGGCGCGGACAGCGAGTCCTGTTCAAAATGAACAGGAACTGCTGTTGGGCATTGTACCCAGTCTTTCCGTGCCCATTGCGCTCGTGCCGACTTTTGGGCCAGCCCGGTCCTCGAGCACCGCGCCCGGCGGTGCGCAGCCGCGCGCCTCTCTTCGCGCCCTCGCGCCCTCGCGCCCTGGTCGCTGGACCCCCTCTTGGGCCAGCCCGGTCCTCGAGCACCGCGCCCGGTGGCGCGCAGCCGGCGCGCGCCTCTCTTCGCGCCCTCGCGCCCCGGAGCGGGGCGCCCCTGGGCCGAGCTCGGGCCACGAGGCGCGCAGGCGGGACCCCGCTGCGAGCCCCCCCCCTCTCGGACGAGCAGGACCCGTCGGCATCGCATCGGGAAGTCGCACCGAGGAGGGGGGGGCACGTGCGAACCCTCCCTGGCGCGCGCAGCGCGTCAGGGGCGGCGCTGGAGGCGCCGCCGGGGTGGCCCCACTGCGGATCCGAGAAATCCGCGCGGAGCGCCCCAAGTTTCTGTTTTGTGGCGTTTTTTCTGCTTCGGCTGTCCGCGGCAGCGGCGGGGGCTGCACGGGGTGCGGAGCAGCAGGTGCCGCAGGGAGGGAGCCACATGCGAACCCTGCCCCTACCCCCCACGATGTCGAAGGGGGAGGGGGGGGGTCCCTCGGGAGCTCCCGAACGAAGTGGACCCCACCCTGCCCCTCAGACATCGTGGGGGGCGGGGGCAGGGTTCGCATGTGGCCCCCTAATTATCGAGCCGGAACGCGCAGTCGGACTTGGTGGGACAGGACACGCGGGAGGACACGAGACCCTTCCGAGGGCCACACCGCCGCAGGAATGCAGGAGGCACGGGTCGCGAGACACAGGACACAAGGGTGCCCTTGATCTGGCAGGGTCGACCTGCTAATCAGGGCCGCCGACTGTACCTCGCATCGCCCCGAGGCACGAGTCGGAATCGAGTCGGATCGATCGCCAGGATGCTCAACGACACCATGCGAGCATCGGGCCGCATCGTGGGAGCATTGTAATCGAGTCGGATCCGGCGGGTCAAACTCTACACATCGGATCGCAATCGATCCCAAGGCGCGCCGAAGAATGGGGCCAAGAAGGCTCTAGAAAGCCCAAGGGGGCCCCAGGAGGCCCCCACACGGCCCCGAGATGCACCAAAACCGCCCCCACACACCACACAGGATGCCAATGTGGCCCCGAGAAGCCCCAACAGAGGCCCTGGAGCACTCAAGAGGGCCCAAGAAACCCCCACAACGGCACCAAGAGAACCCCCAAGACAGCCCCAAGTCCAGCCCATACAATTGGACACCAACTGATTGCGAAATCTGCCTACTGAGTTCCCCGTGAGGGCCGCCCGCTGTCTTCCGCTCTGCGGGCTCACTTCGCAAATGCTACACTATTATGGGCAATTCTCGAAGGGTCGCCACACATAATGCTGCGATGGCACGGTGGCGGAGCTTACCACAAGCACCTGGGGAAACGTGGTGCATTCCCTTTCCTCACTCCTCCTCTCGCCAGGAGGGTACTCCAGGCAAAAGGGAACGCGTCGGCGTGCGAAATGCGGCGGACGGACCGACATTCCGCACGCGGGGGGGTGCAATCGTGTGCTTTTGGGCGTCGTGAGTATTTGCGCGCGCATGCGTGCTGAAGGCGAAATCGCTTGCCTGTCTCCAAGGTCACCTCTCTGCGAGTCCAGGCCACGACGCTCGAAGCGCGGCCAATTTCGCGCCCCTGCAGGTGACCCAGAGACTGCTTGCCTGCCCGTGGCGGCGCGCGGCTGAAACTCAACAGGCTGCGGGGCGGGCGAAACCGAAGGCGGGGGGCCCTCGTTGGTGCTCTGCGCAGCCTCGGGACGGCGCGGCGCAGCTGCGCCGCACGCCTCCTGGGTGCGTGCGCCGCGCGGTCTGGCGCGCGGCGGGACGAACCGCGGGGAGAGCTTGGGCTGGAAGGGCTGCGTCGGATCGAACCGCGGCCCTGGATTGGACTGGAGGCGGATCGGGTCGCCGGCGCTCCGTCCCGCATCGAGGCGACACCGGATCGCCGCGCCCGGCTCCGAGTGGCCCGGGCCGATGCCGGTGGATCAAACCGAGCCGGATCGAATCGAAATCGGTGACCGAGCCGGCGTATCGAGTTGCACAGGATCGGATCGAAGGCGGCCCTGGGGCGGCCCGGGCTGGGCGGGTGGGAGTGGGTGGGCATCAGAGAGAGGGCCGTGACGCCTCGAGCTACGCTGCTGAACCGCTTTGCTTCGCGCATCGCGCTCCGCGGTGCGCGGCGCGCGGTCCTCCGCGCCTTCGCGCCCCCACGCCGCCCCCATTGGAGAAGGGAAGCCGCTCTGGCCCAGACAGTGACGCGCAAAGCGCGATTACAGCCCAGCCGCCCGTGGAAGGCCTAGGTCCTTCTCTCTGACTCCGTGCGAAGCTCTGGTCAGCACGGGGATCGAACACAGCAGGGCCCTTGAAACTCGGCTCGGGAGCACTGCGCTCCCAAAGGCGGAACGCGGGTGCCCCGCGCCTCACAGACCATGTCGTACAAGTCCCCTAGGCTCCAGGCGAGCCTGCATGTGTTTCTCCTCTTCGGCCTATCCTTCTATGGAATCCATCGACGTGACGATGTCGCGAAGCGAAGTGAGGCCCTTGAGCACGCCCGAGTCTAATTCACCGTACTCCTCGCTGGGACTGCCGAGGGTGTGCGGGAAGTCGATCATCGCCATGCCTAGCGTCGGCTTCTCGCTACCAGCCGCGCGGGCGTCGTACCATACGAAAAGCGAGAGTCCGGTGAAGCGGTACGTCTTCTGGAACGAGAAAGTCTCTATGAACGGCGCCAATTTCATCAGAAATTCCATCCTCGGGGCAACCGAGAAGACCTGCCCAACACGATGCAACTACAGCAATGAAGTAACTATTGAGGACCGTCGCGCTCTGCCGAGGCCAGGCGGAGAAAACGGACACACATCGTCCGGCTCTCTGGGCCCCAAAGGGCCTGGGCAAAGAGGGAGCGAAGGAAAAGCAAAAAAACGACAACAACGATCACAACGAGTACGTGACACGGGTAGCCAGTGAGAGTACGTGACATGGGCTCGTTATCGGAGGCAGAGAACCAAATCAGAAATCTGAAATCTCCCTGAGCACACGTCCCCGAGCCCCTCCAGAAGCCCAAGGGAAGTCATCCTCCACTCCCCGCGCCGCCACACCCAGAGGGGTGAGCTCACAGAGGACGCTTCCCTACCTCCCCCCCCGACACCACACGGCCCCTTCGCAGAATCCACTGGCCCCGGGCCCCTCCCAGCACCCAGTGATCCCTCCGTAGAGCCCAGAGGGCACCTCCCTTAGCCCCAGCACCCGACTGTCGCTTCGCAGGGCTCACCACCTGGGGGCGCTCAAGACCGGCGCCAGTTGTGACAGAGCGCTCAAAAGGAGCTGGCCTCAAATTACATCTCCTTCCTGCTGCGCTGCTGCACTCGCAGTGTGGCATGGCTTGCCACAACGTGGCACGGTTCTACTCTACTCGTCGTGTGGCAACGCAGCGTGGCGGAAGAAATCCTGTGCCGATTATTCGCCACGTGGTAACCCACGGGGCGGACAAAAACGCGACGTGGCGGTGCAAGAGTTGTGAGAAACACGAGTGTGATTGAACCGTCCTGTGGCGACAACAACACGATTATACTCAACATGGGGAACGCCAACAAGTTCTATTGCACTGCACTCGTCAACCGGACACGCAGAATGCAAAACAAACGAATGCCATTCCACTCGGCTCGACGCGTGGCAACGCTGGAGAAAAACTCCTACGCTTCCCTAAAAAACAACACCCTGCCCAGGGAAACGCAACGCCCAACCCTGGGAAGCCGCGACAAGCCCCGAAGAGAGCAGGCGGTATATGGGAAAACGTCGCCCACGCTGCAGCCCCAACCTTTCCTGATATAGGGCGAACAGGCCAGGGAGGCGCGCATACACCGATCCTAGACCACAGATCGACCTGGCCTGGGGCGGTGGATATGTATAGGTCTCGTCGCCCGAGGATGCGGCGCTGTGGCTTCCCAGGTTGGTCACACATGGCGGGGTCTCAGAGGCGCGCGAGCCACTTTGTCTCGAGCACCAGGCCGCGTCTGAGTCTCCGACGCGGATGCGTTTGAATTTTGTCCGCCAGCCGCCCGATCACTGCGCAGGGCAACTGATGCAGACAGCTTTGCCCGTCAAACGACCCAACAACCTGTCACGGACCAGACCTTTGTTTGCGGCAGGTTGGTCTGCTCTGATGGAGCCTTATGAAGGCTCTCCTGAGGCAGTCTTGAAGCACCGATGAGGCCCCCAAAGACCCCCAAGGTGTGTCCAAGGATCATGGAGGCTTTCGATGGGCACGACGCCCGCGGCACCGACGCAATTTCACGCACCGCACCGCTGATCCATATCGCATGCGCCTTATCATTGTGGGGATCCGACTTGGGCTCTGCGGCCCGCCAGACGTGAGGTTGGGCGCAAGGTTATCGGGTTGGAGAGCAGACGGTCTCCTGGGCGGGGCGCAGCGTGTCCCAGGCACGGGGTCCACCGCCCCCTTATAGAATGCCAAGTGCTTGACTTCCCAAGGGCCGCCCGACCCCCCACCACCCTCCCACGCGCACCATGCTTCGCCACATGCACCGCGCGAAGGCCCCTGGCTGGCCCTACGCATCCCGGAGGCTCCCCAGCACACTCCACGGCTTCGATGACGGCTCAGGAAGGCCACCAAGGCCGCCAAGATGGCCCAGCATTGCCCCGAGAGGCACCCACCAGCCCCCGAGAGCATCCCACTATGCGCCAAAGGGGCCCACAAGGAGCTTTCAAGACACCAACGGGCAGGCCGAGAGACCCCAAGCAGGGACCAAAACCGCCCCCAAGACGGCCCCAAGAGGCTCCCCGGACGGCCTAGGTGGACACCAGGACCGCCTGAGAGAGGAGGAGGAGAAGGAGGAGGAGGAGGAGGAGGAGGAGAAGGAGGAGGAGCAGGAGCAGGAGGAGGGAGGAGGAGGAGGAGGAGGAAGGAGGAGGAGAGGAGGAGGAGGAGGAGGAGGGAGGAGGGAGGAGGGAGGAGGGAGAAAGAGGGAGGAGGGAGAGGGAGGAGGAGAGGAGGAGGGAGGAGGGAGGAGAGAGGAGGAGGAGAGGAGGAGGAGGAGGAGGAGGAGGAGGGAGGAGGAGGAGGGAGGAGGGGAGGAGGGGAGGGAGGGAGGAGGAGGAGGGGGAGGGAGGGAGGAGGGAGGAGGGAGGAGGAGGAGGAGGAGGAGGAGGAGGAGGAAGGAAGGAAGGAAGGAGGAAGGAAGGAGGAGGAGGAGGAGGAGGAGGAGGAGGAGAAGGAGGAGGAGGAAGGAAGGAGGGAGGAGGAGGGCGAGGAGGAGGAGGAGGAGGAGGAGGAGGAGGAGGGAGGCCGAAGACGGCCTTGGAGGGCTCGACGGGAGCCCCAAGAGGGCCCCACGGGAACCCGAGACAGACCTAAGACGGCCCAGGCAGCCCACACGAGAGCCCCTCCAGGAATGGAGACGAGCTCCTTCTCCTCCTCCTCCTCTTCTTCTTATTATTCTTCTGATTATTAGTATTCGTATTAACAGTCTTAGTATTATCCTTCTTAATTTTACTAGTATGACTACTCTATGATTAGCCGTGCTATTCGTACTACTATTATCATTGGTTTCATTAGTATTAATATGTTTTAGTATTACGTGTATTAGTACTGTTCTTATTCATATTAACAGTAATATTAATATCATTATGTTTCTGCTTATGCTTCTGCTTCTTACTATTAGTATTATTATTCCTCCGCCGCCACCGCCGCCACCGCCTCCTCCTCCTCCTCCGCCGCCGCCTCCGCCTCCGCCTCCGCCCCCGCCTCCGCCTCCACCTCCTCCGCCTCCTCCGCCTAGGTGTCGCGTGTCACGGCTTTCTGGGCGGTGCTCGAAGCGTCGCCACGCAGAGTGCTGAGCCGGCACGGTGGCTGGCCTTGCGGCATGCAGCCCTTACCACAATCGATCAACGATCACATACGACCGAGCTTTGAAACAGCTCTCGGCGAACACATCCAGTCGGGCACCTCCCGTTTTGCCCCCCGATCCTCAGTGCAGGCGTGGGGAGATAGGCCTTGACCAGCATCTCGAACTCCTCAACGGTCGAGCCGCGCTTCCAATCATCGTCGCCTCTGACAAAGCCCTGCTTGACCGCCGCCCTCCCGCCAAGCTGATATGCACCCGGATTTGAGGGCGCATCACCGCCCTCCCACATTGAGGGGTCCGGGTGGAGAGCAAAAGACAACAAGCGCGGCTGCTCCGTCGTCCCCTGAAACAGCCTCATCCTACCCATGCTTCGAGCGATCCCCACCGGGGACCTGCTGCAAACATGCTCGAAGCATGTGCGTATGCTGTGCGGCGATGTGCTGTAAGGTTTCTTCCCTATGATGCGACTTGATGTGCTATACGGACGCCTCATACATGTCGAATCTGGACATGTGTATGACCTGACATCGCGCACGTGAACGAATGATGCATAATGCTACGGATACCTGCGTATGGGTAATAATACACTGTAAGCTTGCATGGTCGTTATGCAATTTCGGCATGTACGTTATTGGTGTATGTCCCTATGTGCGCTCGCTGATGCTCGCTGTACATGCTTCAGGTGTGGTGATGTACAGATCCGCCACCGTGCCGCTGGGCACGAAGTGGACGTGTCCTCAGGTCCGTTGCCAAACCCCCTGAGCCACAGTCCTCAGTCCTGAGGAGTGCTTTAGAGGCCCAGACCCGAATCTCCGAAATCTCTTGGGGTTTGGCGCGTCCCCTGGGGTTTTCGGCATCTTGTCGCATGGGTAGGTGGTCAAGCGACCCAACTCGTGGGCCCAAAACTGGCGACCCCAGTGGCGCGTTGAGAGGAAGCAGCGAAATTCTGGCACGACCATGCCGTCGGTTTCCCCAAAATGTTAAAAACTTATATCATGCTGTTTGCAATATGTTCTTTTGTCGCACGAAATTTCGGGCCCACGAGGGCCTCCAGACGGGCCAAGAGGGCCCCAACAGGCCCTCAAGACAGCCCATGGCCCCGAGACGCCCGCTGATCTTTCCGAGACGTCCAAGATGGCCTCAAGAAGACCCAAGAGGCCTCCAAGAGGCCTCCCAAGAGGGCCCCCAGAAGCAAACATGTGTGAGTTCCTTTGGCTTTTGAAGGATTTTTACGTTCTCGCCTTTTCGGCATTCCGACGCTCCAAGACGGCCCAAGAGCCCCCAAGACCACCCCAAAACTGCCACGGCGGCCTCCAAGAGGGCCCCAAGACGGCCTACGAGCGCCCCAAGACGGCGGCCCAAGAGGACCCCAAGACGGTCCCCAGAAGGGCCCAAGAGAGTGAACACACGAACAGAAAATCTGAGCCTTCCACCCCAAGAGGCCCCCAGGAGGCCCCAAGAGGCACCCAGGAGGCCAGAAGAGGCCACCAAGAGGCCCCCAGAAGCCCCAAGAGCCCCCCCAAGAGAACCTAAAGAGGCCCCTAGAGGCCCCAAAACAGCCCCCAAGAGGCCTCCAAACTGCCTCCAAGAGGCCCCCGAGAGGCCTCCCACGAGATCCCAACGAACATCCAGTAGGCTTCATACCCACAACCCAGGCATGGTGGCAGGATGGGCCGAAAAACATTCGACCTGGGCCGGCAAGGGAACGGAACGAGCGGACCAGGAACTTGCCCGAGATGGCTCATGGCACCCTTCGCTCTTGGGAGCCTTGGTGTGAAGAGCTTGTTACGACGCCGCTCTCCGTTGGGAGCCCTGGTGTTCAGAGACTTTTACGTTGCCGCTCGCTCTTGGGAGCCTTGGTGTGGAAAGCTTCGCTCTTTGGAGCATTAGGTGTGAAGAGCTTGTTACTTCGCGGCTCTCCGTTGGGAGCCCTTGTGTTCAGAGACTTTTACGTTGCCGCTCGCTCTTGGGAGCCTTAGTGTGTAGAGTGACAAGCTTTTCAAGTTACCGCGCTCTGGGGAGCCTTGGTGTCAAGAGCTTATTACGTCACCTCTCCCTGAGGGGAGCCATGGTGTTCTTGAGCGTCTCTTGGGCCTCGTCGGGGTCTTCTGGAGGCCTTTTGGAACCCTTTGGGAGCCCTTTGGAGGCAATTTGGGCCGTCTTTGAGCCCTTGTGGGCCTTCTTGGGGCGTCTTGGAAGCCTTTGGCCGTCTTGGGGCCCTCTTGGGGGCCTCTTGGGGCCCTCTTGGGAGCTTCTTTGGAGCCTCTTGGGGCTCTCTTGTGGGGCCCCCTTGGGCCGTCTTGAGGCCCTTTTGGGCCGTGTTGGGACCCTCTGGGGCCGTCTTGGGGCCCTCTTGGATCGTTTTCGGGCCCTTTCGGGGGGTCTTAAGACGATCTTTCGAGCCTCTTGGGCCGTTTTGGACCGTTCTTGGCCCGAAAGGGCAAGAACCCCAAAAACATGCAAGAACAATAGAAAAATTATCCCGGCAAAGCAACCTAACAGCGATGTGTAGAAGCATATCTGAAAGCATTCCCCTTACGATTCAGATGAAAATCCAGTTGTCGAATTCTGCTGTTCTCGCAGTCGTAGTCGCATTCGCGATGACAGTCGCAGCGGCAACGGCAGTCGCAGTCACAGCCTCAGCCTCAGCCTGCCTCCTCCTCCTCCTCCTCTTTCTCCTGCTCCTCCTCCTCCTCCTCCTCCTCCTCCTCCCTCCTCGTCCTCCTCGTCCGTCTCTCGTCCTCCTCCTCCTCCTCCTGGTCCTCTCTCCTCCTCCTCCTCCTCCTCCTCCTCCTCCTCCTCCTCCTGGTCCCTCGTTCTCCTCCTCCTGGTGCTCTCCCCCCCCCTCCTCCTCCTCGTCCTCCTCCTCCTCCTCCTCGTCCTCCTCCTCCTCTTCCTCCTCCTCCTCCTCGTCCTCCTCCTCCTCCTCCTCCTCCTCCTCCTGGTAGTCCTCCCCCTCCCCTCCTCCTCCTCCTTCCTCTTCCTGGTCGTCCTCGTTCTCGTCCTCCTCGTCTTGCTCGTCCTCCTCCTCCTGGTGTTCTCTCCTCCTCCTCCTCCTCCTCCTCCTCCTCCTCCTCCTCCTCCTCCTCCTCCTCCTGGTGGTCCTCGTTCTCCTCCTCCTGGTACTCTCCCCCCCCCTCCTCCTCCTCCTCCTCGTCCTCGTCCTCCTCCTCCTCCTCCTCCTCTTCCTCCTCCTCCTCCTCCTCCTCCTCCTCCTCCTGGTACTCCTCCCCCTCCCCTCCTCCTCCTCCTCCTCCTCCTCCTCCTGGTCGTCCTCCTCCTCCTGGTCGTCCTCCTCCTCCTGCTCGTCCTCCTCCTCCTCCTGCTCGTCCTTCTTCTCCTGCTCCTCCTGCTCCTCGTCCTGCCCTGCTCCCTGTGGTCTTGCTCGTCCTCCTCCTCGTCGTGCTCTTGCCCCTGCTGAAAATGTGGCCCAGGAATGGGAGTTCTGGGAAGTCGAAGAGCACGAAGTTGCCTACAGTTGGCTACGGGCATTCAAAATGTGGCCCGGGAATGGAGTTCTGGGAACTCGAAGAGCACGAAGTGGCCTACAGTTGGCTCCGGGCATTCAAAATGTGGCCCGGGAATGGAGTTCTGGGAACTCGAAGAGCACGAAGTGGCCTACAGTTGGCTCCGGGCATCCAAAATGTGGCCCGGGAATGGAATTCTGGGAACTCGAAGAGCACGAAGTGTGTGACTGTTGCATCCGGTTATTCTAAATGTGGCCCGGGAATGGCGTTCTGGGATCTCGAAGAGCACGAAGTGTGTGACTGTTGCATCCGGTTATTCTAAATGTGGCCCGGGAATGGCGTTCTGGGATCTCGAATGTGTGACTGTTGCATCCGGGTATGAGAATGTGGCCTGGGAATGGAGTTCTGGGAAGTCGAAGAGCACGAAGTGCGTGACTGTTGGTGAAAAACGAGCCCGGCACCCTGCCGCCCGGCAACTCCCCAACACCTGCCCGGACCCCCCTGTGGAGTGATCTGTGAGCTCTTTTGAGTCAACTAGAAACCTATCAGTCTTCGCTGTTAGGTAACAATGTGTTTTGCCTCTGGGGGCCCTCTCGGGGGCCCTCTTGAGGGCATCTGGAGCCGTCTCGAGGCTTTCTTGGACCGTTTGGAAGCCATCTGAGGCTCTCTTGCGGTCGTCTTGGTGCCCTTTTGGGCCATTTTGGGGCCCTCTTGGGCCGTCTTGGGGCCGTTCGGTCAATCGTGGAAAAAAACAAGGAAACGCCGCCCGGGAGCCGCTTCACTCAAAAAATGAAAGGAAAGCTGGCCATTACATCCCGGTCGCGCCCCCTCGCCCCTCCCCTGGACCCCTCCTTAAAGGCTTCGCCCCGCCAAAACGTACACTCGTACCTCGCGCTTTCCGTCACCTGGGCTGGCAAGGGAACGGAAAGAGCGGACCAGGAACTTGCCCGAGATGGCTCATGGTACCCTTCGCTCTGGGGAGCCTTGGCGTTAAAAGCTTGTTGCGTCACCGCTCGCTGTTAGGAGCCCTGGTGTTCACAGACTTTGAAGCTGCCGCCCAGCTAAGGGCCGCTTGACTCGAAAAAAACACACAGGAAGCGGCCCCCGAGCAGCCACTACAACCATGCCCGCCCCCCTCGCCCCTCCCCTGGAACCCCTCCCTAGAAGACTTCGCCCCAACTCAACGTACATCGCTCGTACCTCGCTCTTCCCGTCACCTGGGCTGGCACGGGACCGGAAACAGCGCTGCAGGAACTTGCCCGAGATGGCGCATGGCACCCTTCGCTCTGGGGAGCCTTGGCGTTAAGAGCTTGTTGCGTCACCGCTCTCTGTTGGGAGCCCTGGTGTTCACAGACTTTTACGTTGCCGCTCGCTCTTGGGTGCCTTGCTGCGAAAAGCTTTTTACGTCACCGCGCTCTGGGGAGCCTTGGTGTTCAGAGCTTGTGACGTCACCGCTCGCTGTGGGGAGCCATGGTGGTATTTGGCGTCTCTGGGGCTTCTTGGGAGTCTATTGGGGGCCTTTGTGGGCCGTTTTGGGACTCTTGGGCCGTCTTGGAGCCAGCCCAGTCCCCACACCCATGCAACCCAGTCCCTACACAGCCTCTTCGGGCCCTCTTGGGAGCCTCTTGGGGCCCCCTTGGGGCTCTTTTGGGGCCGTCTTGGGGTCCTCTTGGGCCGTCTTGGAGCCCCCTTGGGCCGTCTTGGGGCCAGCCCAGACGCCCAAGCAGCCCAGTCCACACACCGCCTCTTTGGGTCCTCTTGAGAGCCTCTTGGGGCCCTCTTGGGGCTCTCTTAGGGCCGCCTTGGGGCCCTCTTGGGCCGTTTGAAAACCCTCTTGGGCTGTCGAGGGGCCCTCTTGGACTCTTTTCGGCTCCTTTGGGGGGCCTTTGGGGCCGTCTTGGAACGATATTTGCGGCGTCTTGGGCCGTCTTGGGCCCTT